TTATTTTAAGGCTTCTTTTGATTTATATTAATTAATACTGTACCTAGTGTCTTTTTGTGTTTATACAATATCATGTACTTACCCGCAAGCTAATAATTACATTGTACATATTTAAATTTTCTCATTGTAAGTGAAACATTGTGTTTTTTATGAGAAAAAATATCTTTAAACCTAAGTAGATGTCAGTCTAGATAATCTAAGGTTTAAGTTACAGTTATTTTCTAATGCAGCTTGGAATTTTGTATGAGTTGATAGCAGACACTATTTCAGGTATACCAAGATGTAAATGGATGTAGGTGGAGAGAAATTCAACTCGGAGACAATGAACTTAGATACCAATATATGTAAAAAGACTTATTTGCATAATGTAAGCATAAAGGACTATAGGGTACTTGTTCCCAAGATAAAGTCATAAATTAATACTTTTTTCAAAGCTATCAGTTGTAATTATTTTAACCATAAACAAGATATAAAAGCAATTATTTGAACAATTAACTGAAACATTGTCCTAAATGTAAGATAAGAGTTTAAAGATAAGACTAACAGTTTATGTATACATTAAATATTTAAATTTTTTATCTTAGCTAACATAACATAAATAAAATGGCTAACAGATCTACAATATTGTACTAATGGAGTATATTATTTATAATGTAGATTTTGGCAATCAATATGTACAATATTCCACGTATGTAGATACGATCCTTAGTGTGGTTAATAATACAGTTCATTAGATTTCTTATGACTAATAACAGTAGTATACCGTAGCCTGATTTGCATTTTGTTGTCCATCAAATGGGTTGTAGTCGTCCAAACCACGGGTCGCATTTGTTGTACTTCTCGCGACTTGCTGCACAGACGGATCCTGAAAGTCCGAGGAATATAAAATAAATAATCATAATGATACATAACAAATTACATACAATTCTATCGAATTCACTTACAGCAAACGGATTGTCTATGGTTGGATCACTAAAGGGATTATCTTCAAATTGCGGCATTGGTTGCGATTTTAATACGCCACTTTAGCAAAATAAATATTATGTAGCACAATGGAAATATTTGCAACTATATTTAAACACAAAACGCAATAAATTTTAGATCCCGACACAATAACTGACAGATCGCGCTGACGATGGTGACGAAAAATGACAGTTTTCAGTTTTCATAATGTTGCTAGTGTAGTAACTTTATCAAAGAGTTTTATTTTAAAATACAGCGATACAGCGATAAGCGAATTGATTTTGATTTAAACTGAATTCTTCAATTCCCAGACTTGAATATAAAGTGTCAATTAAATCAAAGAGAAAATAAAACATTTGTCCTGCAGTCACTTGCCTCCGCCATCTTTCCAACTATAGGCTCTACTGGGCACTGAGCACTACAATACAACGAACATTCGTAACACTCCTGTAATTTCAACTGAGAAAAAAATCAAAATGACTTCATTCCACGCAGTAATTAGTAGTAGTCTTTAACGTAATCATCGTCATCACCAGCTCACTATACTTCCCCACTGAAGGGCTTGGAGTGTACCCTAAGTTAGGATGACTAGGCCCTAGCTAACTATCTGGTCCAGTGCGGATTGATTGACTTCAATATCTTGCTATTACGCAATTACCTTTAGGTATACTGGTAAAATATATCAACAGAAATTTAAAACCCAATGTTGATAAAATTAAGTATCAGAAACCTTCATCATTAACTGGTTTAATTTAATTTTAAGAAAGTGTTGGACTTGCTATAAATGACGTTAAGGCGTTGGAAAGTAACGATAAACATTAACGTTCATAGTTAAACCATTGTATAAACTAATGCACTCGAGATTAAGTTAAAATAAATCAAGTTGTTTTAATTTATTCAAAACACTTATTATCTGTAAGTTGGTACTCTGGAAGCGAAAGTGGTTTTACAGTTGGCAGCTATATTTGTCAGTTTAGTGTACGGTTCTGTCAAAGTAGGCAGCTGTTTACGTTTTGTATCGTTATTTTGCGATCGTTTTGCACAACTTTTGTTATACCGTATTGTTTTTATTTTAACACTTTTGCTTCTACGATATCGGTGAATTATATGTGTGATTTTTTTGTTAATTTCTTTAAACCATGTCAGATGTCAAGAGGTGAATAAGTAGTGTGTTTGTGTCTAACGTGTGAGTGACAGTTTTTATATTGTTTGGGATTCGTGCGATAAACATATCGGTGAGTATTTCCTTTTTTACTCTAGGGGGTTATACAAAAAATATGTTAAACGGTGTAAAGAAATTGACATATTATTATCAAAGTTTATCTTGGCGAGTTTATGTTTATAGGTCGTAAAAAAGGCAAGACTGAGATTTTGGGGGCTATGGAATAAAAGAAATAAATTAGACGTGGCGCGTTTGAATAGTGTTAGCGATTAGTTACGGGTGTTTGGCGCGGTCAGCGGCGTACGCGCCGGATCCTTCGCGCATGCCCACCGTAGCTTGGCGAAAGTTGTTTGCTCTTGAAACCGAGGAAGTACTGCCTGGGCAACGAAATACAGGTGTTACAACACTGCTGCGTGTATTTTATATCTATAGAGAACATTGCACTCCAGTAGCTTAAGAAAATATGCAATATTCAAAATATTAAAGATTTATATGTGATTTTTCTAGTTTATTAATCTTCAGCAAGTCTTAATATTCAAGAACAATGTTAAAAATTACTTGTACAAGGCTGAATATCGATATTCATTCTTTAAAGTAATTTAAAAACAACAACTACTCACCAGAGCGGTGAATGAAATCTTAAGTAAACAATGGCCACAAACAATAGCTGATTTTTGTTTATTGTTTCTCTAGGTAGCATATGATTAGCTACTGTTTGAAATACCATATCTTAGGGGTCATGAATGAATTACTAGTAATTAAAATTTACATAAAATTATTGTCTAAAACGAATTAAACACTCACTTATAATCTTCTAGCGATGGACCAATTAGTTTTGGACCTGTCAAGGATCTTTAGAGCCCTGATTTGTTGAGACATTTCTAATTCCTTTTTGATAATGCCTTTTGAGAGTTTAAACAGTTTAATTACAATAATTATTACACATAAAGTCAAATCTTATCAAATATTAATAAATGTTATTTACATTTTTAAGTACACATAAGAAAATTTTAATGCATTGCTAATTAAATTTTACTGCTTCTATGTCTATTAGACAATTTTATTATATTGTACTGCCATAAAAATTTTATGGCGGCTACAAAAAACAATGTTATTTACAAGGTTTTGCCCCCAAGTTTATATGTATGGAAAAAGTAAACATCCCAGCAAATTTTACCAAGATTAATGAACTATTTGGGAGATATTTAGTAAAACACATCTATCTATCTGTTCATCCATTAAAAATTTGTCGTGTAAAATATTACTAAGATTATAGAGTTTTTTAAGCCTCCATGAGACACTCCTTTAAGAAGCGAGCTTACAATTTCCTCAAAGGCCGGCAACACATCTGTAGTTCCTCTGGTGTTGCGGATGTCCATGGGCGTCATTGACCAACTTTGTGTTCCCGCCGCCCGTTTACCCTCTCTTCATATAAAAAAAAATTTGCTCAGCAATTCCAAATAATTTTGCAATTTCATTATTACATCATTTATTTTGTAATAAATATACCTTATTGTAACAAATAATCATTTGATACCAACATTTGATATGTGCTGCAGTTTTGCCGCACATTGTGATTTGTCAAAGAGAATATTGAGGTCATTGTGAAATAATACACTGTGGCACTTTCACTTTACTCACCTTGTATAATATTGTTTGAATAACTTGCTGCCAATTTTTTTCATATTGTATATTTTATTTCGTTGGAACAGAATATTTTATAGGTGTAAAGCAACTCTAACTTCATTTCAATTTAGTATTTATGATTTTAGATTTTCCATTAACCAATACTTTATAACCTTTAATTCAAAGACACACACAAATGCACATAAACACACACTCGCGCACAAATGCAACATAGAAATACACTAATAAAAATAGGTATTACTTCAAAATGTATAACTACTAGATATAAGTAAAATGTAATGTATGGAAGAACGCACTATTCTATCTATTCTATCACTATATTATCTTCTTGTAAAAAAATTATTATTAAAACCATATTACTATTATTTATTTTGTTAATAAGTCATTAATTTAGTCCCTAATATCAGAAAGTATCTATTAGATATATGTTCATTTAGCAATGGTTTAAGAAATTAATAATAACTGAAATGCAGTTATATAGTAATTGAAAATAACCAGTCATAATACAAATCCCCATTTGAGTCATAGCAGATAACTTTTGTATATTTACTCTATTTATGTAGAAGGTAATATTTTACATATATTTGTTATGCTTATGTACATCAATATTCCTTGTATACCAACAAACTTACGCCTTAAAGTTAAACTTAGGAATAAACTGAGCATAAGCAAATTGTAGTATAAATTTTACTTATACTCAGTTTATTCAAGTTTAACTTTATACCGCGTTAATTTGTAAGGCTGTAAATATTATAACAAAACTATTTAACTACGTCGTAGTTTTTGACTCCAAAAATAGACAAAAAAATGGGACCCACCTACAAGCACTACCTTTTGGATAAAAAAAGAATTATCAAAATCGGTCCACTATCGGCAGAGTTATGCCGTAACACACATAAAAAAATATATAAATAAAAAAACATACAGACATATTGAGTACTTAATTCTTTTGGGAAGTCGGTCAAAAAGTGAAAGTCATATGATATATTCTTCCTCTTAATGGCTTAGGTTATAGGGTATATTCGTTTTTTAATTAAATTCATTTTTATTGGTATGTAAATTATGTTATGGTGCAATTAAACCATAAACAGCTAGTTGCAGTCATTGTTTTTGTATGAGTGTATAAACTCGCAGTGATCTTTTTTAATTCAAGCATGAAGACAGTTATATTTTCTTTCACATGTAACTGTACCAAATGTCATGGGAATAGTTTTGAGCACATGACATTGTAGCATTGATCTAATAGTGTTAGTTGATAAGTTTACATTGGCAATTATAAGACAAAGGTAATTGTTATAGTTCTTATGGCAAAGTATTTAACTACTCTCCTATTAGTTCCCAGCCTTTGATATCTATTTGAATAAATGAACAATGGTACAGCTATAAAAACTTCCTTTCTTACTTCCTTTAGTATCGATTTTATAGCAATCGATAATAGATATGAGTAATCCTTCTAATAATATGAGAAAAACTGAATGTGTGTGAATAGGAAGTATTTGTATCATAAAATATGCCACTGTAAAGTATTCATAATTCATATACAATCAAAGAATTAAATTTTAGAATTAAAGAGCTGTCGCACGCAAACTTCGTTAGCGCAAAGGACCACCCGTTACGCCATTATACAGCGCGGAATTTTAAAAAAAGTAACCTATAATATGCACGTCTATGTCAGCAACCCTTCAGTGAAAGACTGGTCGAAATCGGTCCAGCCGTTTTGGAGGTTGCTCGGAACAAATGCGGCTTGTAGACAGACAAAGAAAGTTTAAATGCGATTTTCGTTATCACCAACATCATGTTCCCGAAATCTGAATTTTTGACAGTACCAGACACTTTAATTTTATTATATGTATAGATAGATTGAACTTCGTTTTGTTACATTTTGACAGGATAATTATATACAAAAATATAACTATCATGTTATGAATAATATAACCTTGTTTATAATTTTTGAAGTTTTTATAAGGTCATATAACAGGGAAAAATATAACATTTGTTAGAGATAAGAACTGAAATAACAATCCTATTTTTTCCTTAATTTTATTTGTGGTGTAACAAATTACTATGTCCCACAATTTTTAACCAACAACCTAAAAGGAGGCTATCATTTTATCTGTATTTGTTTGAGTTACCGCAAATCTTTGGTCTTAATGTACCAATTTTGCTTATTCTATTTTTATTTGAAAAATAGTGCTTCTAGGGGGGTCCTATTTTAATCTAATATTGGCACAATATACCATTTAAAATAGCTTTTACAAACAGATAATTAATATCAGATCAGTTGAATTGAAATTAATTTTCAGTACTGAATGTGTAGGTAATAGTCAGTCCAGTTCATCAGTCAGAGTCATTTTAGATTTGTGGATCTGTTTGTGAATTAAACTCCAGTATGACGTGAGCCTGCACTATAAAAGCTAAATCATGCTACTGTAATTAATTGATGGAATATGCAATGATGATAAAACGTTGCCTGTTTGTGACATAACTTTAGGGTGTACTTATAACGGTAACATGTTGATGAAGTTTGTATAGTTTTTATAAAGAAAAAGAAGAATAATGTCGTGTCACAAGTAAAATAAGATAGTCATTGATAACTAGTAATCTTTTACAAAAACCTATTTTGTTATTCTAAAAGTGCATTATTGTGCCCTATCTGGAGATAGGAGCTCAAACATGGTCCTTCGAGCCGGATATTAAATCAGTATATGTGAGTCAGTACCTGTATATGTACTTGATTTTGATAAGAGATTGCTTTTAATGTATAGGAAACAATTACGGTTTAATGTTTCAATTTGTCTGAATAAATCAATAATATAGAATTTTGTAAAATTGACAATATTTGAGCTTAAATTTGTGTCGTTATTTAACATGGCTTGCTATTAATATTTTTTTAAATAGACGCCAGTAAGAATAATCGATAAAGTTAGGCAGCGTAACGGTTATGTCGACGTATTCAGGTGGCCGTTTGTCACCTTATGGTATTAAAAAATGTACTATAAAGTAAAAAAAATCTATGGATTCTATATCTATTCTCTATAGTGTAGAGAATAGTAGTTAAATGGAGACTTACATGTTAAGTAAAACTTCGAAACCCTTAAGGCTTTTTACATTAACAATGGCCAATTAACATTATTAGGAGAGGACTGATATAAAATGTACTGTTTTTTGTTGAAGCTTACATTATTAATGGCGAAAAAAGTCCGACCTATGTAATAATTAACGTATGCCATTGTCGCCCTTAATTAGAGCGGCTCGCATTTATTCTATTGTCTCCGTTGTGTATGTGCCCGTGAGGGGGAAGGGGGGCGCTTTGTTCGTGACCCATTAACGTTATATTGTGGGAGATGACGTCTCGATTTGGTAACGAAATTACGTAGTCTGAATGTTGCTTAATTTCACGCGTGTGACGACTGATTTCGCAAATAT